ACAACAACAACAACAACAACAACAACAACAACAACAACAACAACAACTCTCTCTCACGCGCCCAAAGGGTAGCGCAGCCTTCACTGACGTTCTGTCAGCGGACTCCTCATTGGGAGAACTTTGTAGCGCAGCCGTAGCAGAGGCTGGGTTGCATCAGCAACCAATCGTTGAACTTCCATCAAAATTTACTCAGCTCATGCTGAGAATACACAACCCTGGTGGGTCGTGCATAGCAGGGCAAAAGTCATGACCAGTCGGTCAGAGGCAGCCTCAAGTAAGAAGAGAGCCTAGGAGAAAAACTAGCTACAGTCTCTCAGAGGCGCAGGTCAGCCGTCCGAGGAGCAGCAGCGCCCATCAGCGCTCGGCAGCGTCCATCAGCGGTGAGTGGCCCCGCTGCTGGTCCCAGCAGCTGCTGGTGTGGAAGGTTCCAGCGCGGCTGCAATGCGTGACAGCAGCAAGGTCAGCTGTTGCTGATCAGTGGCCTGTTCATTCTCAGTCCAAGTGGCATCCAAGGCACTGATGGAATCGGTGTCCTCAGCCTGAGTGGACCAAGATCGACTCTGGTCCTCCACATGAAGGGTCTCAGACCTGGAGGGAGTCAAGGGGCACATGTCATCCATAGATGGGGCCGATGAGTCCACCAGGCATATGGAGCAGGGCACAACCAAATCAAGATCAGGCGGCGTTTGGCCCAATCAGGGAGCTGCCTGTGTGTCTTGGCAGGCTTACCATCGTCGAGCTCATACCAGCATTTCGGATTCCAAGCTTTGACGAAGGTGATGAAGTGTCCTGAGTTTCGGCTGCCAAGATGCACCACACCTGACACTGGCATATAGGGGAGCCAGCGAATGTCGTGAGTTCGACCATCCTCGAAGAAGGGGAGGTTCAGGGTGTCCTCAAGCTCCAGCAGGTTGTTGTGGCCTAGGAGCGGAGTGAGCATCAAGGCACGATCAATGTGTACACACTTCAAGGTTCCAATCGAAAGGAAGGCTGAGTGCATGGATTCTGCATAGATCCAAGGTTGAAGAAGCTGAGATAACGAGGGGGCAGGAATATCCAATTCATATATGCAGTCCAGTGAGATGGGGTACTGCCATGAACCAGCTTCAGAGCGCTCAACTTTTGATCCAGCCAGAAAGCGTCGTTCCCAAGTCATGGATACTGCCTCAGATTCAAGCCATGTTACGAGCTCTGAAACAAATTCCCCAACGTCTCTTGGCATACAGGATGAAGCGGCCTGTCGAAGAAGATCGGGAAAGGCTAAGGCCACGCATGTCCCCGGCATGGTCTGAAGCCTGTGAAGGAAAGCTCAAACAGGACGAATCTGAACCCCAAAGTCCTCAAGGGAAAAGTCAGGGCGACAAAGGATGGCCCAAATGGTGCAGAGCAAACCTGCATTCGCCCAGCACCAACAGCTATCATTCTGCAGCTGTGCCCCCAAAAGTGCTCCTCGTAGAAGATCCCTCAGTGCCGGCGGTTGCCGTGCCGGCGGGGACAGGCAAAAACCTGCATCTCCTGTGCCACCTTGGATCTCTGCTGCGAGTGGGCTTTCAGTCGACCTGCCACCAGCATCCAAACTGCCGATCCGATGAGGGATCTCATCTCGCACATTAGCGGATCGTTCCGCATGGCCAGCTGAATCTTCCAAGGTGTAACCCCTGTAGTGTTTCCCTGGCTCTTGAGTGCAAAGAACCGGATCAGGTTGGCCGGTTCCTGGAGGGCTACATGGAGTCGTTGTAGTTTCTGCTCCATCTCGGTCGTGCTGATGCCCTGCGTTTGCATGGGATCAGGCATTTCTGCTTATTTCTGCTGATGGCACCATTGCAGATAGGGGATCGTGTTGTCCTCCAGGATGATCTTGGTGAGAATGCTCTGTCGGCGAAAGTCCGGGTCCGAGAGCTTGGTGCAGAAACCTTTGAATCTCCTCATCAGCTCTTCGAGCAAGGTCTGCATCAGGACTACCCTGAGAGGATTCACGGGTGTCGTTTGCTCTCGCCAGTCCTGGGCTGCCTGAATGAGGAGGTGTGTCACTCCCTGTGTCCCTTGCGTGATGAACAGGATGCATTGGTCCTGGCATGCTAGTGCGTTGAGGGCATCCTCGTGGCGCAAGGTCAGGACTGCCAACATCCGACATAGTTGTGCTACCTGACCCGACGACGCCGAGTCGTCTGGAGCCGCTGTCGTCGAGGAGCGGCGGGTGGATGGATCCGGATGGTTGACTTTGATCTTCTTGGCCGATGCTGACTGACGGCTGGGAGTCGGTGCGCCGGCGAGCATACCTAAGAATGTTTCCTGCAGCTGAGACATCTTGTCCTCGTCGGACACCTCCTGTTTGTGCTCGGCCATGGCTCTCAAAATCAGGACGAGTTCGAAGGTAGATCAGGGCCAAGTTCAACAGAACCCCACATTTGTGACGGAGAGCATACCAAATGGTGTTGTCAACCACATTGTAGGTGTTGCTATCTTCATTGCATGCGTGGCAGGGGAGTGGGTCTCTGATATGAGCCAGAAGATGCTTCCCCAAGCATTGGAGGAGTGCTTGACATTGCTGACATTCTGTGGCGTGATGTTGTTCAATGTGACGAACAAGATCATGCGGGTCAGGGAAGCTGCGATTGCACAATGCACAGTGATGTCCAAGCCCCTCACAGGTGATGGTGTCATTCAGGAGGAGAAAGGGGAGGTTGTCCCGCAAGTCCTGGATCAACTTGGGCGCCTGTGCATGCAGTCGAGGGT